GACAGAGGCCAAAGAAAGGAGGTAGTGGTGCTCAGACATGCAAGAAACTGCAGAAGACATCACATTTTTGTGTTTGAAAGGATCACATTTGGGGGAAGTAGGAACCGGAGGTGTTGAAGATTAAGATTGGGTCTTTGAAATCTTGCCAAGAACCAAGAACCAGGACTAGTGACAGAGGGACTAGCCAGGTAGGACAATTACAATGGAAATCTGGCTCCCTTCACATAGAGTGGAGCAGGGCTACAGAATCTGTTGCAGGGGGGAGGTGGGGCCAAGTCTGGCACAGTCTGTGGGTTTGAAAGGAGCTGGGCGGGTTGGAGAATGCCAGTTAGCCTTTGTAGTTCTGAGCTCAGAGAGGGGATGACAAGCACTGGGCTTCGGGTCACAAGACTGGCTTGGATGGCTTTTGGAGAAATTTCCTCTCAGCTCTTCAAATGTATTTACCCCAAAGTTAGCCTCAACATGTGTCCTGGGAGCGTTGGCCAGTGAAGATTTCGGCAGTGGTACCTATTGGCTGGAGGATGGGGTCGACTCTCTTCCCAGTTCCCTAGAAGCATCCACTGCATGGAATACAACATCTTTGCATATTTTTCACCCTTCCCACATAATTGCATCTCCCAGATCTCTAGGGTTGATTCCCAGGTTGATCTTTTTGAAAGAGAAAGTGGGGGGGGGGGATCCTACGTGAAGATGTGGACTCCAGAGGTCTCTGTCTGCCCTGCCTCTGCCAGACCCAGACAACAGACTCAATGTGATGGCCATTCATAGAGAAAGTAGTAAGTTTTCATTTTTGCTATTCTTGTTTATTATTTTCAAGGCTTAGTTGATCTCCAGGATCAGGGTCCCCAAAGCATGCTTGCACTCTCTGTCTCTGTCTCTCTCTGTCTGTCTCTGTCTCGCTCTGTCTCTCTGTCATTTTGTCTCTCTCTCCTCCTGTCCCCTCCCCTCTCCTTCGTTTTTCTTCTCAGGAAAAATAAATAGTACCCTTCTCACCCTAGGAATGACGTAGAAAAGCAATAAACTGCTTCCTCACTGTTCTTATTCTGGGCTAAAGATATCTGAGGTTGGTCTATATGTGCCTATCCTCAAGACAGTAATATTTTAAAATGCATTTGCATCAGCTTACATGATGCATACAATAAACACTATATAACCAATGTCATTATGCTAACTTTATCCCAGAACTTGCACAGATGTCATCTTTGAGGGATTTCTGGATGTATTTGTGCTCCCTCAAAGGAGGGTGATAGGAAGAATTTAGAAGGAGGGTGTGGTCCAGCTGATTCAGCTCCCTTCAGGCTTGTGGCTCCTCCCTCTCCCCACTTCTCAGCCCAGCTCCTCAGACCTAATCTGAGTCAGCTGTCGATTCAATACTATCTACCTCTTGTTTCCAGCTGGGTTAGACTGTCAGGCAGTTGACCACTTCCCATGATCACAATCATTATGTCTGTGGTCCCTGCATTACCATCAGACCAAGGCATAGGCTGAACAATAGCATCTACTCCCCCAGCTTCTCTCAGCCAAAGATAACATAGCCAAAGTCCCAATAACAGTATTAATATTGTATTTAGAAGCTCTCTGGTTCATCTCACCTTCTGAGAGTCGCACAGAATTCACTAATTAATCTTCACTACACTCTATACATTAGAGGTAAATATTCTGAACCATGATGGAAGACATGTATGTATATGCTGAGGACAGTAAAACGGTTACTTATTTATCATGGTTCACTTGATAGAGTAACTGGTATTTTTAAAACACCCATCATAGATACAATAATTAGAGATATGCTTTTGTTAACAAAGTCACTACCCACTTCTAGCGTACCCTTGGGTACTAAATAATTACCCACTTTGTGTGGTTATCTAGCTCACTAATTACCCACAGAAATTGGGGTCAGGTGTTAACTGCTTCAAATAAGTATCCTCCAAAGACCTCACTGAGTTGTATGGAGAAAATGATGTGTTCCTTAGCCTAACTTTCACAAGTCACATATTTGTGTATCTTTGTAAGCAGAGTGAGCACAGACAAGGACAGATTAGCTTAGTGTGTGGAAGTCATACTAAACTGTTACTGCAAATCAGAGGGGTTAGGAGAATTCCATTCTCCACCTATCTCTCCTTTTGGGTTGGGAATAGTGGCCTGTTCTCGGGCCTTCATATATACAAGTACACTGAGACCATCAATGACTCTCCTTAGGAATGATTCATCTTGGCGTTACAGGGAGGCACCCAATGAGTCAAAGATTTTTTTTTTGACAGCTCCACCCTTTTTGATTATTTTAGCATGTCTCTCTCTCTCTCTCTCTCTCTCTCTCTCTCTCTCTCTCTCTCTCTCTCTCGTTCTTTATCAGTCTAGTGTAAACACTCTATTAGCCAAATCTGAAAAAAGATTCTGACCCAGTCACCAACTCCTGCCTCACGCCTTCCTCCTTCCCAGTCATGACAATAAGAAAAAAAAAATGTATTAAAGATACTCCAACATTCTGTTACTTCTTCTCTTTTGCCTGTGTGTCCTCCTCCTCCTCTTCCTCTTCCTTCTCTCCTTCCTCTCCCTCTTTTCCCTTTTCTCTTGCCCTTCCTCTGCTTCTTCATCTCATACGCTTCTCCTCTCTTCCTTCTCCTTCCGTTGGCATCCAGCCGTGCTCCTGAAGTCTCACCGTCAGAGACAAAGCACAATGAATGTCTGTGACGAGCACAAAGAAACTACCTTTTAAAGCACCCACTTGCAGGGAAACCTGCATCCTTGGCTCTCTTCCTCTCCTTTCTTGCTATTTGCAGAACTCCGTATTCTATTTTAACACAGGGCTGTCTGTTGTCTTCAGGATTCTAGCCTCATTGGGAAAACTGGGTTAAGACAGCAATATACCCACTGTGTTTATAGATAGGTAGAGACCCTAATTTTGGGGGTGGTACCTTCTTTGAGAGGACACTGCATGGAGGGCAAGCATTTAAAATGGGTGACAACAGAAACGCTGCATACTGCTCCCTTCATCTTTTAGGGATGACTTTCTTTTTTCTCCTCTCTCTCTCTCTCTCTCTCTCTCTCTCTCTCTCTCTCTCTCTCTCTCCATCTGAAGTATTGCTTATCGTTATCGAGGGACATTAGGCTGATCAATAAAGTGTGCATGTATCTTATGGACATGGGATGCTACAAAGGCTTCAGGAATCAGCAAAATGCCTGCAGTGGAAGTCAAGGGTTAGGCTGAGCCGAGGAGACCGATTGAATGGCTTTCCAAATCCCAGGAATGGAACGTAAGTGGCAAATTAGTGCACGTTGCAATCGGAGGCAACCAGCAAAACCCAGCCATTGAAAGGCATGAGGTTTAGCATTGTGATCATTACGCGCCTGAAGAGTGTCTATGTATCTTAAATATAGACTTGAGTTGTTGCTCTTTTCTGCTTTCACACAACAATTTCAAAGAAATGTTTGGGCGTTGTTGACTATCTGTCCATTTAAGAAAAAATAAATAAAAAAGAAAGGAGGAAAATTTCACAAGAAGCCTCACCTGCGCTCATTCACGAATGTGTGTGGATGCCAGACAATTGGCCAAAGAACCACATTGCACCCCAGGTCTCACTTCTTCACAGTCCCCACCTTGATCAGCCCTCCCCCACACCCAACACTTTAGAAAATGAGCTACCTGAACTGTAGGTCTAGCAAAAGAACACACATACACACACACACACACACACACACACACACACACACACACACACACATACACACATATACACACACACACACACACACGTTTGAATCTGTAGAGAACAATGTCTAGTTTACCCTGACCTGATGGTGTATTTTTGATCTCATTAGTAGTCAGGGAGATGTCTCCATGCATCCGGTGTTGCTAGTCCGGGAGGAGACATGCTACACAACACCGAGAGAGCAAGCGCGAGAATATTAGAAGAGGCTTGTCTTCAAGATATGGAAGGAAGTGAGAGATGACATTGCTTCAAGCTTTGTATGCGAGAGCCTGGCGGGGCGGGGGGGGGGGGGGGGGGGGGGGGGAGGCAAGGGAAGCCAAGCGGATTCTCAGAAAAGGGGGGACGCCATCAAAGAGCTAAAGGTGATTAGAGGGGGATATCGATTCCTTTCTCTGCCAGAGGTTTAAGCAGGCATGTGAGGAATCTGCACCACGGTTGGCAGAAAGAGACCCATTGCCTCCTGTAACCAGACACTGGGGCTTTCCAGGAGCCCAGGGAGAGAGCCGAGAAGAAAGGGGGCAGTGTGGTCTAGGAAAATTCAACTTGTCGCTGATTTGTGCCTGATGCTTGCTGTCCGTCAGCAGCCTCCCTTACATGCTTTTTTTCCTCTCTCTCCTTTTTTCTCCCCTTGCCTTCTTCTTCAGCGAAGCCTAGGGGAGCCAGTAAAGATTAAATGTGCTTTCTCAAAGGCAGCCACTTCATGCTGCTATGTCGAAAGGGCTATTATTATTAATAATATGAGAGAGAGAGAGAGAGAGAGAGAGAGAGAGAGAGAGAGAGAGAGAGGAGACTAGGTATGATGATGACGGACTGGCTCTTTGGAGAGGAAAAGGGGAAGGAGAGAAAAAGGAGAGACGCCGAGCTGAACGGAGAACTGTACATGAGCAGGACCTGCAGAGGTGAGAAAAAAAGTTGTGTGTGGGGGTGTTCTAAACAGACCCTGTACAGAGGGAAAGAGACGATTTAGAAGGCTGGCTGGTGTGATTCTAGTTCTTCTGGTGGGGAGGAGGCGAGCCTGGAGCTCTTCGCTATTCCTAGTTCTTTCTTTCTTTCTTTCTTTTTTCTTTTTCTTTCTTTCTTCCTTTTTTTTTTTTTTTTTTTTTTTTTTTTTTCTCCGAGTAGAAGGGCCCCCTCCAGTGTCTTCCTTAGGCCAGTGCTTTGTTATTCTGTGTGCCCAGCCAGCCATCCACTTTGCTCAGGCTTGGGATAAAAGAAAGAAAGGAGGGGTGAGGGGAAAGAAATTTTTTTTAAAGAAGCATCTTCCCGTCGGTCCCCTCCCTTTCGGTTTTTTTTTTTTTTTTTTTTTTTTTTGAGTCTGCACAGGAAAGCTCCGCTTCCAGGCAGAGGAGGTTGGGGAGAGCGACTCTATCAGGTACAGCACTAGTGGCTGTTTGTGAAGATGGAGGGGGATTATGCCTCGGATTCCTCTGAAATATTGGCCAAAGGCTTCAAAGGATCCGCAGCGGGAGGCGAGGGTGGGGGAGCATCTCCCCAGCTCTCACCCACCCCTTCCCACTTTGCGTCTACCAAATGACAGGCTGGTGCTCGCTCTGGGTGATTTTGGCCTTGGCCTCAGCCAAGCAGCTGATGCAGAGGAGGGCCTGGTTTGCAAGACTGACAGAACTCTGCATGCTAGAGAAAGAAGGAAAAGAAAAAAAAAATTTTTTTCCAAGCAGTCCTTGGGAAATTTTCTTGTTCTCTCTCGATTTATTTATTTTTAATTTTTTTACCGACTGTTTTCCAAATTTGATCAGCCCCAGCCCCTCCCTCCACTCCCACCCTACTGCCTTTCCCCCCACCCCCACGCCCGGCCAAAGCATAAACCATAGAGTTACGGTCTTCTCTCGATTTTGGAGTATCGCTTCCTGCCCCCGCCTTCCCTCCCCGCCCCATTCTCTGTCCTATTGAACACCTCGCCTAGCCTAGCGCACTGCGAGCTCACATTCTCCCCCCGGCTCTGGATGGCGCTCCTGGAAGCTCTGCAGCCGAGCTCCACTTCAAATGGGTGAGTTCAAAAACCTTTCTAACCTCGGAATCCTGCTTCTCCCAATCCCCATCTCTTAGGATTGTTGCATGTGGCACGCTTGCCCTGGGGGAAGGCAGAGGGTTGTTTTCTTCTCCTTAGTCTATTCCTGCTAGTTACAAATGAAAGCTTTGAAGAGATATTTAATCCTGATTGTAGATCACGTTTTTTTTTTTTTAATTAACCAAATAGAAATGGTCATTTTTCTGAGTCTATTCATATTATTTCCCAATTTAGTATATTATTTTGCCCAAAGCTTAAAAGTTTTCTTTGATATAGCTGCCATTTGCATGTTCAGGCATATATATATATTGCGTATGCAGGGTTGTACGGAGTCAGCAATGGATCTAAATTTTGTGAAGGGTAGAGGCTTAGAAAGCCAGGATGTCGCCACACTGGACCACCTGTTTGCTGCATTTTAGTCCCGAGTCTGCAACTGAAATTGCCTGTCATTCTCGTTTTGCTTTGTTTTGTCTCAAGAAAGAAAAAATACTGTGTTGCGCTCCCCTCAGTCCCTGAGACCCTAACTTGTGATGTTTACCGTTTAAATCCACGGGTTAGGCTCTTGGGAGCTGCGAGTCGTGCCTTTGCGTCGCTGAAGGAACTTTTTTGTCTTTTAAGAAAAAGAAAAAAGAAAAGAAAAGAAAGTTTGTCAGAAGTGATGAGAGTACACCTCTGAGGCTTCCATTGTTAGATGGGATCAGGTGACCAGAGTGTGGCAGCTCCTGGCTTCTGTTGAAGTAGACTGTTAGCATCCTGTGTTGGCTGTTATGGACGCCTGTGTATATGGCTGACACTGAGGCTGGTGGAAACTCATCGGCGGGGTCTATTCCTTGAGAGCAACACGCAGTACTACCAGAGCGTAACACCAACAGCTCAGTACCTGGTGGTTGACCTCAGAACATCTCAGCTGAAGTCCCAGCATGCCCCATGCCTCCAACTTTTAAACTCCACAGTTAATCTGAAAATTGTGCTCAATTAAAATGGGCATGAGAATATATTATATCTGCATTGTCCACACATGTGTTGTATATGGCTAGACAGTGGTTTCACTGACATAGGTATGCTGGAACCACTGGTTTGGAATAAACGAATAGGTTAAATATTCAACTCTTGTATTCAATACAAAGGAAAGAAATGAAGAGACTGGGAAAGATAAAATATGTGCTACTTTGCAAGATTTCTTAAAAACAAAATGAAAGGAGGGATGCTACCTCCTCGCTTTGGTACCTCTGTAAAATCGTTATGCTTGGTGAATTTAAAGGTGATAAGAATAGAAATGGATTTTTCTAAATACCATGGGATGAAAGAAATAATTGAGTGCATTTGATATTGCGTTCTTTGGGGGGAAATCAATGCCTACGACTCTTCTTTAGAAGCTGGGAAGATTTTTATCAGGATTTTAATTCAATTCGACAAAGCTATTGGTAATACCAAACCACATTTAAAAAGGATCCTCTCTTGAGGCGATTGTTAGCATTTTCTAGTTTGTAGTTTTCTGGGATGATAACTTTTCATGGCAGGGTAATTTCAGTGATTCAGGTCAGCCTCACATTAGGGAAGAAGGACGTGGCTTACCTTCCCTTTGTTGCAGAAAATTCGGGCGTACAGTTTCCTTTAAACAGTTTTACTCTTCTCAGCCCAACCTTTCTCTCCATTTTTGGAAAATGACTAAATCAACCCAGACTCCAAATGCTTTCATCTTTGAAAGATTTTGTAATGGTTGTAACCTCATTGTACACAGAGAGAGGAAAGTGAAGGAAGCTGCTCTTGTTCCATTTTTAAATGCTTATCTCAATTTTACTCATTTACCCCAAATTACAGTCAAGAAAGCATTTTGCATCAGAATGCTGAATTGAGAAGTGTGCAACAATTGTGCTGCGTCTTTTGTTGAAACCTCTTGTACGGCTGTAATTTAACTATTACTTGGCAGCCTTTGATAGAATGTGCTTCAAAGCTTACAGTTATTTAACAGATTTTTTTCCATTAGTTTATATAAAATGATTAATGATTCCCCATCCCATTTCAACTAATGTGCATGCATAGCTATGTGGAAATTATGGTGGTGCATCAGTTTAACTTATGGATAATACATATTATCACATTATACATTTGAAAGATTGGCAAACATTTGGTGCTTTTTGAAGGCAAAATATGTATGCAGCTGACGTGACAGAAATGTGTGCATGGATCAATAAAGATATGATAGATGTGATTTCTCTGTGATTTCAAGTGATAGAGGGACATAATTCAATACAAACGTTTCAGTTTGTACTAGCAGGCACTCCTGCTTTCCCATGTTTTCAAGTGGATTGCTCCTGTTCTCAGGCTGCTACTGTAATGCAGGTTGGCCAGGCATTCAGCAGTGCGTGCAACACAACAGATTTCTATATTTCAGCAGGCAACTGCTTCAGTGCAAGGGCAGGTTTCTCAACACCCCCTCTTCCTCATGGAGCCCATCAGCGAAGTTCAGTGAAATGAATAACATAATTGGTGGTTGGTTCAATCACTACCAGTCTAGACTAGCCCAGACGCATCAATTAGAGGGGACTGTCTTTTAAAGGGAGAGTGTAGCCGAAACAAGCAAGCTATTATTGATACTGATCTTTAAAAGCGCAAATCCAGCCTGGCAGATAAAAAAAAATAAAATAAAATAAAAAATAAAAAGGTGGTGAGCTGCAGTGGGGGTGCAATGGGGGAAGAAAAGAGACCCAGGGAACTGGAGCTGGGGTGCAGAAGGACAGGAAGCTGGAGCGAAAGGGGGGATAATGAGTGGAATGCAGTCCTGTACCTCCTTGGAGCACAGTTACAATTCAGTTCACAGGGTGCAGTGGCTCACCGTTTTTTTTAACTAGCATGCACACACACACACACACACACACAGACCCCTTCCCTAACACGACCACCTCCTTTAAAAAAGTCTTCTTTTTTGCCAGCTTACAACCAACACAGTTGAAATCTAACAGCTTTAAGAAGCCGCACTGATAACAAGAAGAACCAGCTGAAACCCCTTTTGCAATATTTACCCAAAAGAAAAATATGTTAAATGCTTAATTTTCAAATCTCTATTCTTTTTGTTTTATTTTGTTTTAAGAGAGCAAACTAGAGAAGAGTACTCATTTTTAAAATCTGGTACTGGAACCAATTTTATGGGCAAAACACCTTTATACGAAAAGTTTACAGTTTTCCATTGAATACAGTTAAGTAAGAAGAATGTAACAAAAGGCTTTGGTGATTTGGTAGTTTTTTTTCTTCTCTTCTCTTCTTCTTTTCTGAGGGAGAAAAACAGATGATTTAGAAAGTGTTAGGAACATATCAAGCCCCAGGGAAAGAAAACGTTTGATTGGTATTAATTAAAACACTGCTAATATATTCTAATAAAATCAGATTTAACATTCTAAACTAATCCGCCTAGCATGTCAAAGGCAAAGAAAAGTATTATCTTTCTTATTTGCATCTAGACAACTCGAATGCATTTGCTCATTCGGCAGAATTAATTTCTTCCACCAGTCTATTAAATCTCCTCACAGATTTGGTCAAACTTATTCTTTCAGACTAGAAGGGAGTGGGGTGGGGAAACCATGGAAGGTATTTGGAAGAGGAGTGACTGTATTTAGGGCCGGGTTTCTGGCTGCCTGTAGTCTTTTCTCTCCATTTGCTGTAACGGGGTGTGGAGAACAGCGGGGATTGCACAGTGATAAATGGCTCAGGGGTTTTGTTTTGTTTTTTTTTTTTTCCCCTTTCTCTCCTTCTACCTGCTGGCTTATTTAAAATTTTCAGTTGCCAAATTATATGAATGGCATTTATTCTGTGCGGTCAGCTTGCTCATCAGCATCTAATTTTTGTTTTCTAATTTCAGAATCCATGCTATCACAGATTCCTAATGGAAATTAAATAAATAAATAAATAAATAAATAAATAAATAAATAAATAAATAAATAAATAAAGGTCCTTATAACCAGAAACCCATCATCTTTTCTCGGCTATTTTTTTTTCTAACTTCAATCCTAAGGGCAAGTGAGGAAAAGAATGCAAAATTTTATTCACCAAGAGCTGAGTTCTTTGTTCTATTTTTAAGTTAAATATTTCTCTGGAAGAATTCCATATTTTTCTGGAGCATGGCGTTTTAGCTCTTTATTGCTAAGCTCACCCAACTGATAATATTGTCCTCAGCTGGTATTATAGCTAAAATGTTTCGCCTGTCACCGGTCTCCCGAAACTATGATAGCCCATGCAAATATGAGGCTAACACAAAAAGATGAATGGGCCGGAAATGCTGAAGACCATATGGGTGTGTTTCCACAAGGAGGGAGTCCGCAGGCTGTGGAGAGGTGGACTGACTATAGTCTGCACCAGGGAGGTGGCTGCAGACTTCTTCCTCCATTGCCTTTTCAAGTCTCCAAGGTAAAAGAGCAATCGCGGTTTGGTTTCACTTGTATTGTTCTATAATCCAGGCAATAAATGCTAATTAGTAATGCTCAAGGATCCGACCATTCAGAGTAATTATCATAATTTACTTCTTCCTCGTTAAAGACATTCCTTGCTGATTTAAAAAAAAAAAAGAAAGAAAGAAAGTCGTCCCTTCCCCATGGCATTGCAGTGAGGATTCACTAGAGAGACGTTCAAGGTACACTCAGAGCCTCGAGGCTGCATTTGAAGTCACCGACATGTGCTGCGCCTTATTGGGAATGGAAGTGCAGCTTGATTTCTATGATGAAATTCATATAAATGCATCAGCTTCTGCACATGCACAGGAATGTATGGTTTTATTTTACAAACCCCAAGGCTCCTCCTTTGGGTCCCACCCCTTTTTCTAAAACCACTTATGAGCTGAACAAAGGAAAGTACTAACTATAGAGGCATCATTAAATGTGAACAGTCACTGCACTGTAAAGTGTGTGCTATGACAACATATTTCACTGCACAAAAGTGCAGATAATTAAATAATTCAACAGCAACCCCGACTAATTAGCAGAAAGATCTTTAAAGAGGAACAAAAAAAAATGGATCCAATCAACTTGAAGAATATGCTTCATTCTCCGAGAGATCTCAAATATATTTTAGTTCTTTGGAGATTGATTCATGTAGGGCATGAGGACAAAGCCAGTTACTCAAAGCAGAGCTTGGATCTTCTTTAGACACACAAACTGGATGTCTGTCTTCGATGAGCTGAATTTAGTGTAAGACTTTCCATTTGCAGTCAAAGGTATACATGCCACTCAGACGTACAGGTCTCTTTTATCTATAGATCTATGACAGCCAACCCTTAGCTTTTCAGTTGGCTTCCTTAATGTGTGTGTAGCCTCTCCCACATTTTCTAATGATGCATATTGAAGTTCCATATTGCTTGAAGAAAGTATCGTATTCACAGTACAGATAGAATAAGTAACTGTACTCAGTGTTGTGCAAGGTAATACCTCTTCCCCATTTCCTTTGTCAAGGTGTTATTCTTAGTGTTCATTGTTCATTGGTCCTTTAAGCAGGAGCTCCAGATTTAACTTGAGGGCTATAAGCACATTAGAAGAATAATTCCCCTTGGATACTGTACAGAAGGAGCCACCTGCAAAATGTTGATGCTGTTATTGAAGTCTCAAGTGGAATCAGCTTTCAAAAAATTAGATATTAGATACATCCGATATAATTTGCAATCTGTAATTATACTAATGTGCATAGAGCTGCACGTTGCTTTACATGTAGCCTACTTGAGTTTGTTGCCCACCCCCACCCTTGGGCATGTCTCATCACTTGCAATTGCTCCTGAGTAGAATGCTTTTTAAGCCAGCTTATTTTTTGTAATTCCTTGTTAATTAATATAAGAATAAAAGGACTTTGCAGCCGGTGTGCTTGTGTGAGAATGAAAGCGAAAAACCTGGATGGTGAAAACTAATGATCCCTCGAAGGGTTGTCACTGGAGACACTGGAATTCTTTGCAAAACATTCGCAATTCTTTGTGGATTTGTTCTTTATCCTGACTTCGGATAACTTGGACGCATGGAGAACATCAGAGTAGTAGATATCACTTAGAAGGAGTACATTTCCTTTGTTGGAATTAGAGAAATGACATTAGGCAGAGATAATAGGTTTTAACTTAATCAAAATAATCAAACCATTAACAATAATAAACAATTCCTTTTCTGCTTTTCCCCTCCATTTTGCATGTCACGTGATGAGTAACTGGAACTCTTGTGTACTAACTTCAGTTCCCTTTTGGGGCCTCAACGTGATTCCAGAGATCTACTGATGGCTCCCCTGGGGAGCCTTCTCCAGCAAGCTCCCCCGTGAAGATCTACCTACTAAGAAAAAAAAAAAAACCCAGGCAGAAGCACAGTGAGTTGGCTGGTCAGTCTGGCACTTGGCTGTATGCAGTAGGTGATGAGATTGTCAAGACAAACTTGGAGAATTATTACTGAGCAAGGCAATGTAAGGGTCTCCCTTGTATTTCTTCTGCATTCAAATTACAAAAAGGATCCCAAGAGACTCTTATGTTGAGTAGAAGACCCCATTCCACTACTCGATGCAATTTGGTAGGTATAGAACCAAAAAAAACAAAGCTGATCTGCAAAATTTTTAACTCATGACAAACTCGTGAAATCTGTCCATTCTCCTACTGTCTGCTGCATATTCATTCCTCAAATTTTTTAAATTTTATTTATAGTATATAAAAGCCGTTTTTGCATGGGTTGGGTCTGTGTAACTCCAAAGCAATGTGTAGCTTGTTTTTTATCTTCTCACATATTCTTGAACTTTCCATTATTCACTACCTATATGAATCATAAAAGTACTATATACAGTGTCCTTTTATAATACAATATCATGCTAATTTATTCACAAATGAATATTGCATGTATGCCAAAAGCTTAGCATCCCATCTTCGATATCATTGTTTATAAAATACATTGCCCATTAACAATATTTAAAAGTAAGTCATTCTACCAGTTAGATCTCTCCTCTGGAGAACCAGCATCCCCAGCATACTCTTATTTAGTGCAGTGATGTGTCCTGGTACATTCCATTCAGTGTACCTAGCTCATTGATGCAATTTCATTGTGTGAGTATAATGGAGAAGCTGATGTCAAAGGTTTTAGTTAAATTAAAACCACCTGTAAAGCACATCTCATTCACAACAGCTCCTGCAGAGTAAGAGAGTAACATTAATACCTCTCTTCTCAAATATCCTTATCTGTGAAGTGAGTGGGTCAGACCAGGAAGGTTCTCAGTTCTTACAGCTCTCAGAGTTGTTGAAGCTATTTTACAGTGTGGGGCCAATCGAACAAGGCCAGAACCCATGAACCCAGAGTCTGTTGGTATCAGTTGCCCTTCAACGTTACATCTGATTCTGCCTCCCGGGTTTAGTATTTACTAATCTGTTTTGCCCTGTTGAGAAAGCACAAAAGATTGGAGTTCACTTTCAGGAAGGGATGGTGACTGAAAAAACACCAGCCTAGGGGCAAAAATCAAAGAAAACGGAAACCAAAATAAGGCTATCCAGTGGGGGAAGTGAATTCTTCATCCCAGTTGTAAACCCACATCCTTCAACGTTGACTTGGAAGATTCCCAGACAGACACCCACCTTCCTGTTTAGGCCACACCCTGTCCCCAAGCCCTTCTGCTTGCCTGTCATCCCTTGGAGTGCGGTTTCTTCTCTCCATTGGATCGATGCCTTTAAGTTTTGTGTTTCCTGTTCCTCTTGGTTCATTGGGATTGTGGTAATACTCCTTTCAGGAGCCTACAATGGTTGCTCGACCACAACACACTTCCCAAATGAAACACTGACATGTTCAAAGCCACCTGGAAAGGGCCCCACCTCATTTTTCTCCAACCACCCAGCAGGTAGAAGCCCTTCTTAAATCAGACTTGACGCCCCAGTCTTGACGCCTTTAATATGCTTACAGCTGACTAATTTTCTTCCTGTGTGCCCCAGTGTTCGGTAACTCTCACCTTCCTTCATTACTTTCTCCTTCCTTTCCTTTCTCCTATTTTCTCTCCTCTTCCCCCCACTTCCCCTCCCTCCTTCCATCCACACACTTTTCTTTCTTCTTTCTTTCTTTTTCCTTTTCTTTCCCTTTCTCTTTCTTACTAATCCTGCTCTCCCTCCTTCCCTTTCTCCGTCTCTTTTTCTTTACGTACCATGCACCAAGTTCTGTGCGAGGTACTAGAAAGACCAAGATAATTTCAAGGGGTCAGCAATTAGCACCCAGTAATTCCAGTGCTTTCCTTCACTCCTGCATGCTGAGCAGTTATGCACTGACAACCAACCTAGATCATCTTCATTCCCAGGACTTATTTCAATGTGCCCTGGACCCTGCAGTCCTTTGATCTCTGCCTGTGTGTCCTGCTTCAGTGAGGGTAGACTCGAAGCACTCCTTCAAGTAGGACTCTCTCATCCACACTGGGACGAGACCACTACTTAACTGATCCTTGAGCAAGGGGAACAATGAAAGAGAGCTGCTTTTTGTTGTCCGAGTGATGTAGCATTTCTGCTGGAGTTAGAAATAGCATTGTCTCTAAGGTGCCACTAATTCATTTCCTTTAAACAGTCAATGTGGTAACTGTCTGTGACGTGTTCTATTATCTTTTCAGTTGTACTGATGTTGCTTTCAGCTGGTCCTATAGCCCCCTTTCTCAGGAATGTCTCCCCGGGGAAAGGACAAAGACGGCAGAGACTGCTAGACTGATGGACCGCTCATGCCAACTGTGAAGTTGAAACAAAGCAACTGACCACCTGAAGAGACCCCTCCTGCACAGCAGCCACCCACATGGTGCAGTGGCAGCCAATAGTAATCTTTGCAAGAAACAGAAAAACCCAGACCATCCACGAGTCAAAAGCTTTCCCTTCCTTGTGTGTATTCGTCTGTCTGTGTTCAGATTCACATGCCATGTATTTTTGATGCTAGTATGGACATGCTTGTTAGTGCAGTTGTGTAAAGGCAACTTTGCCCAAGTGTGTTAATGTATGAAAAGACTGAATTTTCTGGGAAGACTGATTTTTATCAAGATACAGTATTGGTTCCTGAGAGAGATCTAGAAAGTGAAAGACAATGTCACCACAGGTGACCCACAGAGACCTCATGCCTCCACGCAGAAACACCACATCCTGCCCCCAGACTCTGAGTGGCAAGCTTGGCTCTGTGACGTATGACAGCTGCTTCCAAGGGTGGAAATCAAACTGGACAAGGGTACATAAGCTACCTAAAATGTAGTGATAAACTGAGTCAGTAGACAATAAGAACAGAAACAAAACCAAAGACAATGTTCTAAGAAGAGGCCAAATTGGTTTGCCTAAGGGAGAATATTGCCCTAAAGAGAAAATATGAAAGGAACCTTAAAGGGTGTTAAAAAAAAATACATAAATGGGAAGGTAGGAGAAAATAGAGGCCTGAAGGTGGACATAATAGTATGCAAGGGCATGGCAGAGGAAATCCATGTAGTGAATTTTGGAGATAGCAAATCCTATTAACTTGACTCCACTCAACACTCAGCATCCCTCTCTGTGTGTCTTGTAAAGATGGTGCACACCTGTATTTTCCCTCTCCCACCCCAGAAGTCACCTAAACCAAACTAGAACTGAAAAGTCAGTTCTCTGACACTAGAAGGGTGAAGGCAATTGGTGGCACCTGTGTAGAACTCATGATTCTTCTGTTTGTAATTGCTAGTTACCAAGTTTATTCCTTATAGGAAATACTTTGCATAATGAATCTCAGGAGAGCTCTGAAAAATTACACATTGTTCCCACTTCCTAGGTGATGAAACTGATTTTGATGAGGTTATGTGCCTGGCCAAGGTGCTATGTGTGGCTATGAACATTCAAGGTTGTGGTCACAAAGCTCATGAGCTGGAGCCTGAAGTCAGACTTTGTGATCAGTACCCACACTGAAGTCACTTTCCCCACAGCCCTTACTGTCTGTCCACGGAAACAAATAGCCCTTCTGCTTACTTATGGCCTCAATGCTCTCCACTTTTGTATATGAATTACACCAGAATGATAAAATGTGTTTTCACGACAGAAAATTGAGAATTTAGTGGAGGAGAGCCTGTCAGCATTTAGACATTTCCTTTTGATTTTGGTCAGACATCATGAAACTTTTGACTTAGTTCTACAAAAAAACCCAAAAGTTTTAAGAGCAGTGGCCTTAAGCTCCCTGTCACAATATCTTTTTGACAGAAAACATAGATCTATAGTCTGTAAGCAGAGTAACTTAGAAAAATAAAAACCAACCAACCCAAACAAACAAACAAAACAAAACAAACCACATATTTGGAAGTGTCCCAGCAAGGAACAGATACAAGGCCCTCAGTTATCTTTTCATTGGCCTTTGAACTACTCCCTCCTGCCCTAAAGAAACATGAACTTCTATTTGATTAAAGAAGGTATTCTGTCTATATGATCAAGGAATGCCTCATAGACTGGATCTAGTAGATCTCTCCAGTTCCTTCCCTCTTTAACACCTCATGTCATTGTGAAATACAGCTATGAACTAGTGTATTTGGGTCAAGAAGTTGTCAATGATCTGTCCCCAAAGAATACAGAATAGCTACAGTTGTGTGTTTGCTATATCTTTAATGATATTCCCAATCATGAAGTCACTGTTCACCTGTACAGATCCAATCTCCCATTGTACATCTTCTCAACTCACTTGACCAATGGTCAATTTTTGCAAATGTTGTGAATGCTTATCCATGACTATTTCAGCAATACTGAAATATTAACAATGACCACTGGTCATTTTGTGTTGTAATCCTTTTTTATGCATGTAACTAATTCAAGAATCCTTTGGCCATAAGAAACTAGAACTAAAAATCCCGTTCTTGCTTCCAGCCACTCTGCATTTGATTGACATTTAGCAGTGATTAATACAGTGGCCATCTAGATACCATAGATGTCTAAATTGTGATTTTTTTTTTTGTCTGAAAGGAGATGGTTAAGCTGGCTCTGCTAAGGGACAAACGTCTAACTTTTTGAGATACCTGGATATTTAACTGTTGTAACTTTCTACTTAGCTGTTTGACATTTCATAAGCAATCCCCGTCATGGCTCTGGCTGTCTTGTTTTTTTCAAAGTACTTGTTGGCTCTGTCTTACACTGTTCTCACTGACTTTATAAGTAAACAGGTTTGCTGTTACCGAGTAGCCCAAGCACAAAGTGTGACTTCGTTGACATTTTATGAGTTCTTGACTCCCAATAAAAGAAATGTTGCATTAACTGTGGACTTGTGTTGATTTATTGGAAAAGACAGCTCTCGTAGCTTGCTTTCACTTGTGTATGTATAAATCAAAACTAGTTTGTGATCCATAAGGACCAAATATCTAATGGGATAAAAACAATTAAGTTAGAGACACTTTCTAATGATCCCATATCACCTTTAAATGCTGTGGTCACCTGCCCACGTCAGAAGTCTAGGTTCAGTCTCTCCTGTGCACAGGCCGTGTCTGGGAGTTCAGTGTCCCCTTTGACCTCCCCCCTTTTCTTCTATTCAGATAAGTGTGCTTCTTCCCATTTCCTGTGCTAATGGAGTAAGAAAATGTTATCTTTTCCTATCTGGAGTACTGCCTCGTCCTACCAGGATTTCCCTGCCGAATGTCAAGTGGAATCCAGAGAATTCTCTAAATCATGAACATCATTCTCCAGGAATTAAAACTCTTTATAATTACCATTGCCCTTGAGATATCATGGCACCTAGTGAACTTGATGTTCTGGCTTCTTCCTCCAGCAGAACTCTCTAGAATCATCAAGTCCTCATCTATGTTCCTCCTCATGCCATCATCTCTGTCTTCTCTTACTCCCTCATCTCCTCACTTTTTCACACCTGTAGCCTTTTGTCTGTATCTCTCCACCATCCATTCCAAATTCTATCATCTCTCCTTCAATTCTTATCCCAGTAGCCATTTCCTCTCAGAAGCCAGCATCCCAACGGTATGCTGGCTTCCCCACCAAGGTGCTATACTCTGAATTATCCCATGGTTTAAAAAATAACAAATATAGGACTATATACAAGGAACACTAACTCATTATATGTAAAGATACCCAGGGCACTAGCATAAAAAGTATGGTTGAGAAAGTCTGCAACAGCCATGCACAGTGTAATGTTAGTCCTCCCAGAATATCTGCTGAATGAATGGCTTGTCTGGATCCTTAGCAAGAGGTAATCTGACTTCTTTTTACCTGAGCTGTGGTGCTATGCAGGAGATGTGTCTTTGGATTTGTAAGGACTCCTTGTCTTGGGGGTACACAGTCACAGGTGGATTCCCTTCCATTCATCCCAAGGATAACTGAGTGGCATTACCCAATAGGATGACCAATGACTTTGTTTTATGTATCCACAGGCAAACAAAAGAAGGAAATTGAGCTCTTACTTAGGTCAAAATGAGAACGACTCAAGTAGACAATAGATTTGATCAGTCCTATTTTAGTGAAGGGTTAGCCAGATTGTATTACAATAGTAATTATTTATTGGGAACATGCTTATTGTATGTATGGCATATACTGGCCAGGTACTTATTGGATCTTAGGGATGCGGCGGGAAATAGGACAAATGTGGCCCTTACATCTATAGTGAATAATATGAATGTAATTATTTTAGTTATTCAGCAGCAGCCAATATATTAGTTCTCACACTTAGTTGCCCTTGGTAACTGCTTAGGGTGTTTAAATACTGATACCCAGGTCTCTTCTAAAAATATTCTGGGAATTGAGATTCTTGTTCCTTGGAGCCCTTATAGAGCTTTGACTAAGCAGATAGAGCTGAAAACTTTTGACCTATGGGAATATAATATTAAAATGAGCTCTGACGTCAGGCCTGGGCTGAGGTGGGAGAACTGCAAGGACAAGCACTGCCTGGAGTACAGTGAGTTCAGGCTCAACTTAGGAAACGAAATGAGACCTCCTTCTCTGCAGAAAACCACAGAAGGTTAGGGATGGGGAAAGCCCAGGGGTAAAGCACTTGCCTAGTAGGTGCTAGGCCCTAGCTTCAATCTTCTAGACAATGAGTAAAGAAATCAAACATATTAAGAAAACTAGGAATTTGGTATTGGCAGTTGATATCAGGTTAGAGACAAAAGGAGAAAAATCAAAATCATCTGCTTAACATATCTTCGTTTCATTTTTTTTTTCATTTGTCAAATTTCCTCAGAAGACAAATCAGTACTTCGTCACTGAAATGCAGAGATCAGCAAGAAAATGACTCAGATATGAGCCAAACTTAGTTTCTAATTTTAACAAATACTCTTTTTGCTATAGTAAACTTTCCCAGGAAATAAAATCATCTTCAAACCATGAAAGAACCAGTATCCACTGTGATCATAATTTTAAAAAGCCAATCATCAAGTATGAGCACTGTAAATTCTCTTTGTTAAAACAAAAACCACACATGTACACATGTATAAAATACACACACACACACACACACACACACACACACACACACACACACGCACTCTAGGAAGAGGGGGATCGGGTCCCCAGGGGTTCTAAGGACATTCTTATAAAGATCAAGTGCCTATGTTTAACTCCACTCTTAACTAGGAAGGACATTGTGACTTGGAATAGCAGAAACGACAGTGGGAAGAGAAAATTGAAAGAGTGTGTTTTGCTCTTGCAGTCTTGGTTCCCAGATACCTCATTTCATGACATTCCATTCAGTTTAACGTTTCACAGAACAGGTGAAGTCTGTCAGTCTGTCCCCAAGAGAGAAATTGGCATTAAACAAATAACTACTATTTTACAAATAGCTTTTGTGACCTGCCTACCATGCCCAACTTTCAGATTCTTCTTATAGATGAAGAAAACCCTGGAGACCTGTCCTCTAGTCTCCGTTTTCACAATATGTAAGACCACAAAGGGAAAATGTGCCTTTCCATTGGTTAGCCCAGTGGTGCTTAACCTTCCTAATGCTGCAACCCTTTAATACAGTTCCTCATGTTGTGGTGACCCCAACCATATCATTATTTTCATTTCTACTTCATAACTGTAATTTTGTTACTGTTATAAATCATAATGTAAATATCTATGTTTTCCCATGGTCTCAGGTGACCCTAATGAAAGAAGTTCCTCTGGCCCCTAAGGGGTCATGACCCACATGTTGAGAACCACTGTTCTAAAGCCATCAAAAACCCACATCAGCGTCCACACACTTCCTTCAACATCCATTTTGGTGTTTGAGCATCTACAGAGTTGGGAAACTCGCATTTCTGTTCCAAATCCCTCACACTGTTGTCTAATCCCATTTTCTCTTGTTCCCCATGGAGAGGAAAAACAGCTGGTTCCCATTCTTTCTAAATTCAATCTCTTCATAAAGACACCTACCTCTCTGCCCTCTCTTTCCTGGAATGAATAATAATTTCCCATTAGGAAATCATCTCTGGGATTGTGTATGCTCACTGCCATGTCACGTATATACACACTCATTGTGTAATGCTCTTATTTCGAACAAGCCAAGGCCCAGCACAAAAACAAGCACGTGAATCATTATTTTTATGAATGAAGTCACAGGTCCAATAATAGACACTGAATAAATAGTTGAGAACGATTGTCTTCTAATAATCACAGGCCAAAATTTGCCATTTTTTTTTTTTGTACAAAGTATTGACGAGCTGCTGCTATGGGAGAGGCAAATTAAAAATTAAATGATCGGGTTTCAATTTCCTTAAAGGGAGTCCGCCCTACCCCATGCCCTACAGTGAAATATTCCATTTGGCATTCCATAGCAGGAGCCACCATTGCTTGGACAAAAATAGATACAGTGTAGAGCATTCAGTCAATGGAGTAATCCAATTGTCTGAACATTCTTCTCTGCTTTGTCATTTACATTTTAATAAGTCCCAGAATACATCAAGCTGCCCTGAGTTGCACAAGTGTGGCTAACCATGTGTAGTTTACCATATGCAGCTAGGGAATCCAAACATGCAACTCCTATAAAACATCAACATTTGCTTTGCATATATATTTCCAGGTCCTTCCATGTTACAGAGAAGCACTCCCAAATTAAAAATTAATATTTTTCAATATATTTTCTGTCATCCACAAGTATCTCATTAGTACATTCAGATTTTGTAAGTGAAGGGGAGAGGGTGGGTGTGCCATTACGTGATCTTAGAATCCTAGCACCTGTGAACTCAAAGGAAGATTTAACAGATGCCAAAAAGAAAGAAAGAAAGAAAGAAAGAAAGGAAGGAAGAAAGAAAGAAAGAAAGGAAGGAAGGAAGGAAGGAAGGAAGAAAGAAAGAAAGAAAGAAAGAAAGAAAGAAAGAAAGAAAGGAAAAGAGACATACTTATTTCTCTGCCAGTTTCCTTTCTGTTCACCAAGGAAGCTCATATAACCACATTTTAAAGCCATCTCACCTTCCACACTGCCAAAATGCCAGGCATCTCAGCTTTAACAGATGTGTATATGCATGTGCATGTGTTTGCATGTGTGTGTGTAATTATTTTTATTAATCTATATGCATAACTTAGTTTATGCATATATTGGCCACCAGCTGCTTCAATGCTTTGAGACATTTGTTTTCCTGGCTTAACAGAGCCCGGTGAATTTTTATGATGCAGCAGAGCTAGTCATGGAGTGAGCCTCAGCATGTTGAAGATTGTCAAGTGGCATATCTGTACTTAGAGAGGAGGGATGTCTAAAGAAAGAATTCTAGAATAATCTCTACTCTAATATATATATATATGTTAGTAATATATTATATATACTAGTAATATATAATGTATACAATATAATATACTAATAATATATTATCATATGTTAATTACACATTATATTATGCATAATTATATATTTATATATTGCATGTTATATTGTATAACATATTACCATATATTATATATAACTATATATTATTATCTAATATATGTATTAGAGTTACATATATATAAAATATATGATATACTAGTAATATATATTATATATACTAGCACTATATATTATATATGCTAGTAATATATTATATGTATACTAGTTATATATATGTATACATATATATGTATATATATATATATATCACATCTCAGACATGAGATTTAAGCCCAATTTTGATTATATCCTTTGCCCTTAATTAGCTATGCTGTCTAATCTTGCCCACCAGAAAACTCTCACTTTTCCTCTCAACTTTCTGATTATTGTTTGAAGTACTAATTGCCAGAAGACCTGTGTTATTTCCAACATCAGTGAATCTGCTCAATTTTGAACTAGAAATAAATTCAAGCGT